AAAATCAGTAGAAACTTAAACATTCATAAAATGGCTATTATTGGCATCAGGATTTTCGTTTTGCATTTGGCTGCTTGCAGTAGATAATAAGTACTGATAGTGAGTAATCGTGAATAATTAATTGATCCTGGATAATTGCTTTTTGTTATAAGACTGTGATCAATTTAGGGCGAAACGCTACTTGAAATACTTATTTTTTTGCAGCCAATTTAATGACTACAAAAAGTTAAATATTTGGTAACTCACACAAGTTGGCAAGGACTTTTTAATATAAAATTAAAGCACGTAACGTCCGTTGACCGCCTGAATAAATTAAACCGAAAAAGTAGGCATGCTGAAATTGCCAAGACGGCAAGTAATTGCTTCAATCAGCAAAAAATTTCGAGAGTGAATAGCAGTGGAAAATTAGTTTTGCAAAAACAGACATTTGCTTCCCTTCCGTGGCAAATATTTTTTCTTCAAAACTGTCTTTCCAAATGATTACAATTTCCAAATGCAGAACGAAAATCCTGATAATTACACAAAAACTTGTGACTAAAAAACTTCCGGAATGAATGCTCATCGTTCAAGTAATTATGCTGCAAATGCGTAATTTAACGCGATGCATAAATTCATTTTCCGTATTTGTCATCGTACGAACTGGGCTGGGGAGTTATTATTTGCAGAAGGTTGAAGTGTTTTCATAGATAACTTTGAAATTGAAGAAAAATACCTGACAGACATATCCTAAGTGTAGAAGTGAGGCAAAGGCAGATAACAGAACTGAAGATCGTCGTTATCTACTGAATACAGAAGTACAGAAGAAAACCATGGAGAGCAATTTTTCTAGTTCCACAATAGTACTGTTACCCTCAATAATTCTATGAGGGCCACAAAAACTCCAATAAATGTGTGGAGAACCTAGTTTGGTATTTATATAGAACTCGATTTGCATATCTTGATTTTGAACTACAACCCTCTAAAAAATACTGAGCAGTTTCGCTGATAATTCTGTGGAAAAGAAGTTTTTTCGACACATTTCTATCGAGAAAGGATTCTCTCTCGTGCACTGCACAGATTGATATGAATTATTTAAAATGTAATCACTGATTGGAAGAAATATGCAGCAGATGAGAGTGTGCTGGAGAAGCAGCAGAAAATCTCGATAAATTGCGAGGAGGACAGTTAATTGATTTCAGCAAATGCTTGCAAGTGCTACACGTTATGGTTTACCTTCAATCTCTACAGATATGCGGAACAGTTCTCGTTTACCGCTCCTCTCCCCTCTAAAATTTTTCTCTTCACATATTTTTATGCGTAATCATGGGACTGTTCGCTGCAACCATGCTAATTCAGCGGCAAATGCGATTGCAAAACACATATTTACACCAAAGATATGCAAAATATGCTTTGCACTACTTTCGATTCCCTTATTTTATTATCATTATCAAAAATTATAATCAGTACCAGCCATTTTCTCTTTTTGCAGTACTATCGCTAAACTGGCAGCTAGATAAAATATGAATAATGATGCATGAAGGCAATGCTACTGATAAATTTTTGGTTTCATCTATTCCATTGCTTTCTTTTCATTATTCGCATTGCATTTCAATTTCAACTCATTGTAACAACACAAATTCCCAAATTCTAGTTATGCATATTAATTCCATAAACTTTAAAGATCACAGTGCAAAAAGTGTCAATTTCTGAAGTAAATGAGTGCCTATTGCTGATAGATATCTCTAAGCTGTAGTGATCTTTGGGATAAATAACGAACTTCTGACCCAAAAATCCTGTAAAACTGTTCATCTCAAGCAAATATTCAAAATCAGCAGTTATAAGCTTACTTTAACCATCACCACAAGAGACGTAAACTCTATTTTTATAATTATTGACTAGATAACGTCTCTTGTGAAGATGACTGACTGTTAATACCGCAGAATTTACCTACAAACTACTTAATTTTCTCACGAAAATTTAGAAACATTGGTAATTTTATTTAGTAAGAATGAAGGAGGAACTTCCCCAACACAAAATCGTTTGCTTCATATGCTGACAAACTTTCTAGTTCGTAGCTTTACTGAACATATGTGGAGGCAACTGCACGCAGTTCTAAATAACCAGATTACATTTCATATCCACATGCCACTAACTGAAATGATTTCCACAGCAAATTCTCTAGATATCCAAGAGGACTTACAACTTAGGATGGCTTGCGACATGTGCTTATTTATACCACCACTTGATATTTTTTTCTCAACAGAGATAATGATGCAATTTTCAAACCCCGTCTGAGAGATCCGTGGTTATCATGAATGAAAAAGGCATTTCCAAAATAAACTTTACACTGCATTAGAAAAAGTAGTAGTTCTCGTCATCAGTTCTTTACATTTTCATACAAAAAAAACCTATGAAAGCACAGACTTCAAGATCTGTTTACTTGATACTCTCAAGAATGAGCAAATTACACATTTCTAAGTCTAACCACTAGTTTTCATAATTTCTATCCGGTTCTTCCTTGAAGCTGAAGCACAAACCGAAATAAAATAACTGAATAACATATTTACCAATTCTCGAACACTAATTAAATAAAAAAGTATTTTATATATTATATATCAAGTCTTGCATTACTATTTTTCAATTTATTTTACCAAGTATTTGACAGAAAATAACTCTTGTTATTAATGGATTTATTAGTATTTCAATGAATGATCAGTAATCCATTACTGTACAAGTGGGAATGCAAAAAAGTGAGGTAAGTTTTTCGAATTTATGGATTCAGAGAATTTTCACACACTCGTAATAAGTTTTTATCATGCAAGTTAATTATTGATTTAGCAATGACTTCATGTGTATCCGGCATATATCCACCACTTAGTAACATAACAATTGGAATATGTCTTTCACGAGCCTTTTTGAAAACAATCTCATCACGTTTGCGAATTCCCTATACACACAATCCATCAATTCGAAGGCAGTACCTAGTCCATTTATATGAGTAAAGATATATTATTCATACAAGCAAGTTTAATACTCTCTATTAATTACGAAACTGAATTTCTCAAGCTGCAAGAAATAGAAGTCAAAGTTTCACGACTTAATATTATATTATGAAATAACCTTTGGAGATATCGACAATAAACCTAGTGGATCACCTCGAAGACAATCAGTACCCGCATTATATACAATTATATCAGGTCGAAATTCATTAAGAACCTCTTCAAGGTTATTTACAAGTAAAGAGAGATATTCTGAATCTTGAGTACCTACACGGAGATGAATAGGTCTTCTAATAGCACCTGGTAAATAAGAGAGAATATACCCGGAACAACTTTTATCATTGAAACTCAATATTTAGAGCTAACCTTGAAAACAAATATACATGATTCCGAATTTTTAGTCCATGTAAGCTTGCACTAGTAAATTTCAACTCTCTTCTCAAATGTTTTATTTCTTTTAATTTTACTTCTAATATAAAATATGAATAAAAATTTTTTTACTTCTTGCTTTCAAATCATTGGGATAAATGCGATTATTAAACATATCCAATATATAAACCCGCTGATCATCAATGAAATCGTTTTCATGACCATTGCCCTGAAATGAATTCTTGAGTCAAATTTTGAACGGAAATTAAAGATAGCTTTTTGCATAAAAAACCAAATGTTGCACAAAAATAAGAACTAAATAATTTGATTAGTTTCGTATGGAATGCCAGCAGACAGTCACTGCTCAAAATGGAAGAATTTGCCTGCATTTTAGAAACAAAAATAACCTGATGGGCATCTAAATCGACAATCATTGCTTTTTTGATCATTTGACTGATAAATAAAAATGTTAATGCCAAGCTGATATCAGCATAAATGCAGAAGCCACCGCCTTCTGAGGAACTTGCATGATGAAAACCACCGCCAATATTTATAGCCCAACCAAATGTCAGTGCAAGCTTTGCAGCCAAAACTGTACCGCCTGTAAATAGTAAATACTCAGATAGCATTGTTCTTTTCTCTTTTATTAGTAAATATTCTGGAAAAACTTTGAGTACAAAATTTTAATTTGTGCCAAAAAAATGAAGTGAAAGTACGATAAAACAAAACAGCAACTTTTGGTTTATTTTTCAATAAGGCCAGATAATTTAATGATAAGGATGACAGAAAAAGTTAAAATATGCATTCTTCTAAAACAGCCGACTCGAAATAAAGGTATTGTATAATTTAAAGATACTACTGTGTTGATTTCTTATTATATACAGTTAATATCAGATGTGTGGTACAGTCAGGCAAATCGGTAGCTCAGTTGTTCTGATTAAAAAACAATTTATATAATTTTGTTTATGACAACAATGAAGAGTGAAAGAGGCAAAACAGAATGCACAACGTAAAAATAATGTACACAGATAATGAGAATACCAGTATGATATCGAAATGGCTTCAGAAGGACTTTGTTGATAATACACGGTGGGATTAATGCAACTGGCGCAACCTCAACCATCTTTGCAACTTTGCATGGGCAATTCAGTGACGATAAATAAAGCGAAGAATGCACAACTCGAAGATCATATGAACTTGCTTCAGATGGCATTATCGTTTGTCCTTCTTCAATCATTCCCGATTCTGAAATTAGGCACAAATAGAACTGGCAATAATTCTTCCACTGAAAAATGCTTCCATATTGAAATTGGTGAAATTTACGGTGTTAATTAATACCTAAATTTCAAAAGCATAACTGTTCAACTGACTGAAAGTCGGAGTTTATTCAAGTATTTTGCATAGTCAAGAAACAATATAAAAACATATATATATGTTATAAAGTATATTTGAAAAATGAAGAACTTACGGAGCAATTTTTCGTAAACACGACCCCACTTACGCGAATCAAATGGATGACATCGTTCGATTCCACAAAATGATATATTGTAAAGAGGATGGTAGACAATAGGTAATTGATTTGGCTTGACTTCTTTATACAATTTTGATGCTTTTACAAAAGCTAACTTCTCGCTGAAAATAAATACTTTATTAAGTCGTTAGCTGAATTCTAATCAAAAATTAAGATCCCTGACCTAAAATTAATGGAATTATGAAATCTTTACAAGTTCAAAAGTGAAAGTAGCAGATGCTACGCAACAATTCTTAAATGTAAAGTTGATAGAATAATTTCAAATAAAGAGAGCAACCTTATTGGCAATCTTCCTTCAGTACTGCACACATCTTCTTCTGTGCGATTTCTCTCAGTCATATTTCAGTTCTAATATTCCAATTAATTCCCATTGTCAATGAGTAAGAATTAGCACATTTTATGAATAAAATACCTGAAAATGCAATGTCAGGCAATATTTATAATATGTATAATATCAGAAAAACCGAAAGCAGTCGTTTCATGAAAATTCTTTGCATGTTTGAAGTGCAGAAAAAATGTTAACAGCGTTTGAGGGGGGACAACTGAAACTACAAATAAAATTAGTTTCTGAGATACATCAAACAAAATTTATAAGCAGAAGTGAGGAGCAGTTGTTGCTTAACGAGACAGAGATCGATAACGGAAATAAAAATGCAGACAACCGACAGAAATGTGGCGGAAAATGTCAAAATAGGCAGCGGACAAGTGACCCAGTACGCTTTGCTATGAACGCCAATAGTAGTAAGAAGAGAGCAAACGCAAGCAGTCACTTGTTTACTCTTTTAGCAGCAATGTAAGTCGCAAAATGTTACAAGTGAGTAGTAATGCGCATTGTCAACTTGCCAAAGGTCACAGGAAGAGAGAAGAAAGCTTGCTAACCGGAGAGGTCTAGGATGTCTCGTTGGGACCGATACGAACGCGGCGTTGTTATTGCGAAATTGTTCTGTGTGAGATGTTCTCTCTTGCTCTCAGATCACCGACTTTATTGTTTGACTGCTCTGAGTGTTTTATTTCATTCGAATGCACAGATTAACCAATCTTCAGATGCTGTGTCACGCACTGATCTAATCCCTAAAGTGTTCGTTCCTTTTCTTACTGATCCAGTACTCAAGTGTTGTGCTTCGCAAAGCGTTGTTTCTTGACAGAGAAAGGTCACAACGGAATCATTTGCAACTATAAAGCTTCCAGATATTTCTGTCATCATATATATGTATATTGAGATTTTGAAGTATTTAAAATTAGTTATTATTGATTGTACATTGAGTTTCATCATTTACATTGAGTTTCATCATTTACATTGAGTTTCATCATCATTATAGTCAAGCTTTGACTTAAAAAATTAGGTATGCCAAAATGAAATAACATTTCATTTTTCGTTGTCCTCTTTCATTTATTATTTCATCTCATATATCAGTGTTATAAGTCATTAGTTTCTTTACTTAAAAGGCTTAATTCGAGGTCAAACGGTCATAGGTCGTTTCATGTATTCTGGTTCTTTTCCAATAAATCTATAAAGTTGACATTGAGACAATACTTTTTTTCTCAAACGTTGCCGTGGCCTATAATTGACATCTCCTTGTCCTGATGTGTGTCGTCTTGGTATTTACTATTATTTAAAGTGGTCAGCAGAAATGACATCTATACTTTGGTTATTACTCGTCTCTGATGCCATTCCTTAAATTGTCATCCTTGTTTTTTTTTCGTGATTTTGTAGCACTGCGATGAAACTAATTATTAGAATTACCGATTTTATTTTCTGTTTTGAATGAGAAAAAATTTGCGTGTTCTAAACTAGCTACTGGTTTCTTTTGAAAGGCAAATAACGAATGGAAAGAGAGTTTTCCTACATTATCTTCTTGTTCTCTACATAATGATAGACAGTTTTTATTCTGCAAGAAATTAATAATAATTTTTAATATTTATAAATGCATGCTGATTAAGGGGACAATGAGCAGGATCAGCAAAATGAGATTGATTATTTAATTTTTATTTTGATATCTTGTTATATTTATTGGCAAGGGGGAACTTATGACCAATTGTATATTTTTCCAGCATTCCGAGAAAATCGAAGAATTCTGTTTCGTTTCTGGGAATAAGATATGAAGAATGTGGGTCCGAACTGTCAGTCCATTGGGCAATATTTTCTTGGAAAAGAATTGGGTTGGTTTTCTCATAGTTCACTGAGATTCCAATATTTAGAACGTCCTGATCAGGCGATCTATCAGAAAGATGTCAAGGGTCATTTCGGTTGTGTCAATGCAATTGAAACATCATTGGATGAGAATTACTTGATTAGTGGTTTGTCTTATCTATTCTTTTTTTACTTCAGTTACATATACAATTCGTTTCTTTATCGTATATGTAATAATCAGCAGATCTGAATCGTAAGGTTGTCATTATGTGGTTGCATTTTTCTCGCCTTTTAAAACCATATACTCAGCATGTATTTAATTTCATTAGTTGCTGTATATATTTGGCTTCAGTATTTTTTATAACTTAACTAGTCGATGAAGTTTACTTAAAGTATCTTATGATCATAGGTGGTGATGACCGGAGAGTCTTATTGTGGAGAATCAGCGATATTCATCTATCTGAAAACCCCACTCCTTTGGCAGTGATGAACGAAAAACATTACTCAAACATATTTACTGTTAAATTTTCACTGAAGTTTGTTTTCAAATTTGTTTTTCATTTTTAAGATTTAGAAAGTAATGAGTAATCGTCCACATTTTTCTTCCTCAATCTAAATGATTTTAAACTTGTGGTTTCTTCAAATTTTCCAGATCTGATCGTCTTTATTCGGGTGGAAATGATTCTAATTTGTTTGTTCATGATGTTGAAACAACATACGCTATATATCGTTTTGCAAATAGCGAAGCTATCTATGATATTTCAATTCACGTAAGCTAGATCATAGCAGTTATGCACATTTATTTTTTCAAATATCTTATAGACTGTATCATATCTGAAGATACGCTATTTTAATGATCGAAATATTGACTCCGAAGTTATTTGGTTGAAAATGATCTTCACTTTGACCTTACTTTTATGCGCTTGATTTTTATAATGATTGAAGTAAAGCAGTAAGCAGTTAATTCTAGCTTCATTCCTTTAGCCTAGAGACGAATATACAATAATGTCTGCCTCAGAAGATGGGAGAGTTCGTTTTTATGATTTGCGAGTTGGAAGACAAACTGTTGCTATTGCCAATATTGGTATATGGTTTTTTAATTCTATTTTGATTATTTTTCAGCTATAATTTTTGAATTAATATTTGTAATTAGAGTATTTCAGGAACAGTATATTGTGCTCAGTTCAATCCTCGTCATATAAACCTCATATCTGTTTGCAATGCTCAGCGCGGCCTAACACTTTATGATTTGCGGAAACTGGAAAGGTTAAAGCTTGTGTGTTGTCTTAACTTTAACTTTAGTTCCCAAAATCTTATTACTTTTGAAAATAGAGTTCTTTAAAGCTTTATAGCTATGAACTATAAGAGAAATTGACTTCTTCAACGTGAATCATTCATTTTTGAATTTATTGATAATAGGATTTTGAGTAAACACAGTTTTGATACGATATCTTCCAAATATTTTAGTTTTATGTGGCGAATCTCATTATCAAGTTGTGTTATTTAAAGTTTTTTTCGTTATCGCGATTTGTCTTAAAATATATATTTTTAGTCCTGACATCATGTCTGAAAACAGGGGTTCTGCCTACATGAATATATGTAAGACTTCAGTTATGTATGGAGAGTGGAGCGAGGATGGTGATGCAATCTTCATTAATCGTAGTGGATCTTCACCTTTACTATATGATGTATATTTTGTTTGGACAGTCATCGTTATATTAATGTCTAATATTAAATTTATGTTTTGAGTCCTATATCCTTCTTTTTCAGTCTTTAAGTTTATTAAAGTTTAAAACTAGTCACAAAATTAGAAACTAATCGTTATTTAAACTCAAAAATTTTTAGCTCAATGGTGGAGCTACTGTTGAATTCAGGGATCAAAACTATAAAAATTCTTGTACAGTTAAATCGTGTTCATTTATAAGTCGAGATCTTGTAATGACTGGCTCTGATGATTGGAAAATATATATCTGGAAAGTGCCTTCTGATCGAGAAACTGTTGGTTTGTAGTTTGAGAAGCTGTCTTATAGTTTGGGCAATAGCATAATAATTTATTGCTCGACTAAATTAGTATTACTTTTTTTTATTTGCTTATTCAAGTGAAACAGAATACAATTTCAGGACAAAAAGTAAATGGCGCTTATCGAACTTTGGAGGGACATCGGTCTATAGTTAATCACATGCGTTATAGTCCATCTAACAGACTTTTATTCTCATCAGGAGTTGAAAAAATCATTAAAGTTAATATTTAAACGTTTTGCACTAAAAGAGAAGTGTTAAATTTTTTCAGTTTATTGTGGGTCATGTTATCAGGTTTTGTCGTTGCTTTTCATTAAATTTAGTGGAAGCTATTTTTAATTTTAGATACTTTATCAGTTGCAGGTGTGGAGTGAGTTGAATTCAAATGGGTTCTATGATCAGCCTAAAAAGCGATGTTTGGGTCCAGTTAATGCTGAGCAGGATATAATAGTTGAGAACAGTGTAGAAGAAGACAGTCATATGCTTACATTTTTTGATCTACTTACGACTGTTAGTTCTTTTAAATATCTGATGTTTTCTCTAATAATGAATTCAAATTTCATCGCATCAAAATATTCTAGTACGGAACTTAAATAGTTTTTTAGTTACAAATACCTAAAATAATAAGTCTTATCCTGCGCTTTTAAATTCATTGCTTCTTTCTTTTCTAAATTTTCGGAAAGTGTTGTCTTATTCTTGTGTAAGTTCACCAGAAATTTACTATTGTTTGTTACAGTTATTTCCTCATTTAAAAAAATCATTTTGCATTTTCAGAGAGAAGCTCATAGAAGCAGCAGTATTGGGAATACATCAGAAAATAACTCAAATGATGAGGAAATAGTTGATGGAGTGAGAATTAGAGAAGATTTTATGGTAAGTTTTATGTTAATTTTTCAAAAATAGTGTTTGCATGCGCGATTTCGTGTTGCTATTTTCTAAGTCTGTTACTTCATTTCCATTTCTGCAAATCAGAAGCTACGGGAAATGGTTTTGGCAGGTTTCACTGTTTAGTTTTCTAATTTTCAGTATCTATCGTTTTAGAGCCATAACGAAGATTATATACATAGTCTGGAAGAAGATTCAAATCGTCAGGGTTCCGGGTTTCAAACTGTAGCGACTAGGTTGATCTCGGCACACCTTGAAGATGCAGTTGATTTAGACGTTTGCTTTGATTTTATCTTAAATTCAAAATATATCTATATATTTTCTGGGAAACTCATTCTGCGGTGTAGTTTTTTAAATTTTGTTAAAAAATCTTAGAAAACTTTGCTCATTCTTCGCATGGGATCGTGGCATTCTTAAAAAATTCTAATTTGATCTGATAGTGACAATTTTTTTTCTAGCTTCAGATCGCAAATATTTCAATAGGTATTGAAACATTTTTCTAAATTTGATCCTTTAGCACTGACTTCTTAATTGAAATATGTATCAACACAGAATTGATCTTTGTATCAATCATCATGATTTTGAATTATCTTTTATGTGTTTTATGTTTCATTTTCATCAGTGTTTCTTTTTTATATGTTTTGTTACATAAGCTGGTTGACTTATGTTAGCATTATTCGTATTTCAGGATGAAAACTTCGTATTTATAGTTTCATCACCAGAATCACCGGAATCACCAGAATCTGTAGCGCGAAACGCATATTCCGTTAATATAAGGTATGACGATTTCTCTGATGTCGAAGAGTTTGACGATACATCATCTGAAGAAGAACGTAATGGGCGAATTCGCTAAAGTAAATTTCCAATTTTTGAATGAAACGTTACATATTTCGATTTCTGAAAATACATCAAAAATAAAATAGCTGTAATCTTTGCACGCTAATTTATCATCTTATTCAAATTCTATCTCTTTATAATCAGCATATTTTTGGAGCTAGTGTCACTCCCGATATGGTACTAATTTAAATTTTTTGTTATATAAAGCCTGTTAATAGTAAAATTTTCATGTGATTGGAGTTATTAATAGTTTTGGTAATTTAAAATCCCATAGCTTTATTTCCATAAGTACTTTTTAATCGTGAAAAAAATAGGAAGAAAGTTTAAGCAGAGAACTTTTTCATTAAGTTGAATTTACCAGATATATACTTCGGTTTTGTGAAGCATCAATCATCGTTATTTGGAAGATGAAAATCTTACTTGTCTTTTGTTTTACTTCTTTGAAGTATTCTTTTCAGATTAGCTGTGACGGAAGATGGTATGCTTTGAAGCATGGAATTTTCTGTTAGTGTTTTATATGGATGCACTATATTTATCATGTGAAGTTGAAACTAATGAATCTGAAACCAGTTTGTATTCAGATATCATTTTTTCATTGGTTAATCTTGTATTATTATTGGAATGTATTGTTTTAAGTCTCTGTTTTAGTTGCTATAATGATCCTGTGTTTATCACTAATTCTTTTTGTGTACGTGAACTAAGGTCTGTGTGAAAAAACAATTTTTGTCAATTATTGAAACTATTAGGTTTCTTACTTTACTTTTGATAAGAAAAATTACTATTCTAGAGATGTGGTAGATTAAAACAAGTAGTTTTCCGTTTTTTTTTTTTTTTTTTT